AAATATATATGGTAAAGCTATTGATTTTGAAGTCTTTCAAAATGGAGCCACGTAACAGTGTGCAGTAGTAATTTTGGGAATCAAAATTTAATAGCTTTTACATTCCATGTAATTGAGGCACGTGATTTTGAAATTTAAAGTTCAAATACGTTAACATTTCATATGATTTAAGTCAAAGCCAGTTCATGTATACTAATATGAATACTTCAAGCCTAGTCTTCAAAAGACAAAAGATCATGACAAATCTTGAAATAGGGGCATTTGTAGACGATTAAATTTTATTGAATTTAAATTCATAAAATTTATTTGATTATATTTTAAATTAAATATATTTCATTCCAAATAAATATTATGGGCTAATATAAATGGATCAATTGTATATGTTCAATTTATATGGGTTAAATAAATAGGTCAAAATTCATTGGGCTAGCCCATTTAATTGGACAAAAGTGATGAGCCTATTTCATTAAGCACAAAATGTCATTTTCCTAGAAGCTCAGTTTGGTGCCACGTGTCAAATGATGTGGCACGTCAAGTCAAGCGAAAGAGCCATAGGATCATGCCACGTAACAAAATGACAAGGCATGCCAAGTCATATTAAAAGGTTAATGAAATCGCGTCACGTGTGCAAGTGATATGTTCTGGCCAATCAAATACGGCATTGTCACACTTCAATTTGATTGGTCGGAAAAAGTTTGTTCTTATCATAACTCTTCTCTTCCACAACTATAAATAGAGGTCTTCATAACCCAAAAAATACACCATAAGTGATAACAAGAAGCAAGAAAGAGCTCGTGGATCAAACGCTATAAATTCGTCCACAAGTTTCAAGCTTCAAGCAATCAAGTCCAAGTTCAAGTAATCAAGTTCAAGCTCAAGAACGAAGAAAAAATCAAGTTCAAGCTCAAGAACGAAGAATAAATCAAGATCAAGCTCAAAGGCCCTTGAATTTATTTACTATTGAAAAGAAGATCATAGGATTCATAGAGATTGCACACTCATATTAGTTGAAATCAAATCCTACGATTGTTGTAATATTTTTCGGTCTTGATTTTATTTTTTCGACGCAATTTATTGTCTACATAAGGGTTGACCCACAACCTTCGGGGCTTTTGCATCTATACCCGGTTTTGGGATCACAATTGAACTTATACCCACTTTGCAAAAAAGTTTGCAAGTGTACCCACTTTACGATCGACTTTAGACTTATCGGACCTGAAATTAAAAAAAATTAGTCTCAAGTGAAAAAATTGCACTTCAAATGCACTTAAGGCCAAATAGGTCTGAAGTGCAACCAATGGTTTCATGCACTTAAGGCTAATAAGTGTGAAGTAAAAATTTGCACTTCATATGCACTCAAGACCAATAAGTTTGAAGTGAAAATTTGCACTTCAGATGCACTTAAGGCCAAAAAGTCAGAAGTACAACAAACGTTTTCATTAACTTAAGGCCAATAAGTCAGAAGTAAAAATTTGCACTTCAGATGCACTTAAGGCCAAATAGGTCTGAAGTGTAACCAATAGTTTCATGCACTTAGGCCAAAAAATCTGAAGTGCAACAAACGTTTTCATTCACTTAAGGCCAATAAGTCTGAAGTGAAAATTTGCACTTCAAATGCACTTAAGGCCAAAAAGTCAGAAGTGCAACAAACGTTTTCATTCACTTATGGCCAATAAGTCTGAAGTGAAAATTTGCACTTTAGATGCACTTAAGGACAAATAGGTCTGAAGTGTAACCAATGGTTTCGTGCACTTAAGGCTAATAAGTCTGAAGTGCAAAATTGCACTTTAGATGCATTTAAGGCCAAAAGGTCTAAAGTGCAACAAACGTTTTGCTACACTTAAGGCCAATAAGTCTGAAGTGAAAAATTACACTTCAGGTGCACTTAAGGCCAAAAGGTCTGAAGTGCAACAAACGTTTTGCTATACTTAAGGGCAATAAGTCTGAAGTAAAAAATTGCACTTCAGATGCACTTAAGGCTAAAAGGTCTGAAGTGCAACCAACGTTTTTATGCCCTTAAGGCCAAATAGGACTGAAGTGCAAATTGCCCAGAAACAGAAAATTGCTCTTCGAATTATAACAATTCAATATACGATTTAATACCTAAATCTACTCCAAATGAGCTCAAATTTGAAACATAACCTCCAAATATCATCAGGAACAAATCCCAATCATCAATTTGTCAAAATACCAATAAATCTAATGAACCCATTTTGCAATTAAAAAGAAAAAGAAGAAAAAATCCTAAGCAATAGTAAAAAAAAATAAAGCGTTATAACAACTCGCCATTGTAAAACATCATAAACAATATTAAAATATGTTCACAACCACCATATAAAATCATTGTCATCCGAAGAAGAAGAAGAAGAAGAAGAAGAAGAAGAAGAAGAAGAAGAAGAAGGAGGAGGAGGAGGAGGAGGACGAGGAGGAGGAAGAGGTCTGAAGTTGTTTAAAAAGTGGGTACAAATTAAAACTTTTTTAAAAAAAATAGATACGAGTTAAAACTTTTTTAAAAAGTAGGTATAAGTTAAATGAGTGCCTCGTGCAATTTTTACACAACCTTCTTAGGGAAGCCCTTTCAAATAAAAAGATGGGTTGGGATGTTAAATTCACCAGCCCACTAAATATCATGATATATTTAAAATTAGAAGCATAGAAAAATCATTTTTTAAATTACACCAATCAATTATATTCACATAAAGTGAAATCTAGGGAGTACCGTGTAAGTTATGATATGAAATGACCAGGCTTTGTAAGTTAGTATTGATCAATCCATTCAAAAAATGAATGACATTGTTTATTCAGGAATTAGTTCAATGATCTTTAATTTGAACAATCTTTTTAAACATTTTCTGATAAGATTAACTACACATTCTGATCAATAAGACTTTAGTTAAATGTCAATTTTGTTACAAATTTTTAAAAGACAATCTCTACATTCTCATTCGGAAATTAAATACATTAAAATGTTATTTTCCTAAACCAACGCTGTGTTAAAAGATTAAAATGAAGACGCTTAAGGGTGTGACATAGTGGTTAACAAAGTAATTTGAGAAGCATGAAATCTCATGTTCAAATTTTAATAGAGGCAAAAACACTAGGTGACTTACTTCTATCTATCTAAGTCTTCGTGAACAAAGTTATCCGATATTTGTACTGATAAGAGAGATAGCAAAAAAAAAAAGAAAAAGGAAAAAATTAGGACCGAGAAAAATATCGAAAAAATGATATTGTATAGTCACTCTTAAAATAATAGTAAATATATATATATATGTTATAAATAAAAATTATATAAATTTTATATAATTTTTTGATTACTAAATATAAATAATTTCTGACACGGATTAAAAATATAAAAAAAGCTCAAAAGATATATCAAAACGATAAAATGCCTACGCGTTGTAGCGTCAACAATACCGAGTAACTAACTTCGCTGTGTCCATTCCTTTGACTCGGTCTTTTTCTATCACATCTTATATCTTGCTTATCAGTTACTCTTGTCCAGGGCCGGCGGCAGTGGCGGACCCAAGTGGTGTATAGTGGGTTTAACTGAATCCGCTTTATAAAAAAAATATTATTATATATATATATAAATTAGAATTAAAGTTGTATAAATTTTACATAAATATTTTATTTGAAGCCACTTGATAACTACTATTTTACTACTAAATTTATATACTTCTAAGATTGAACCCGCTTGCATAAAATTTTACTACTATTTTTTTCGACTATTAGCAACAACAAAAAAAAAAAAAAAGAGATCGAACAAAATTCAATAGTTTTAACTTTAATCAAAGTTTGTATGTATGTTAGAAATTTATTAAAGTTAAATTTTAAACTCAATTACTAACATTTGAGCTTATTTACAAAAAAGTTAGGATCCGTAAAGTTTAAATGCTTGACTTCGCCTTTGTTGTCCCTTATTTGGACAATTCGACTTGATCATATTTATATTTTATCTCACCTTTATGCGGCATTTTTCTATCCATTTGACATAAGAAAATTAGCACGTAGTAAATATTATATTCAGTGTTATTTTTTAACGTCAAAGTAATTTTAAGTTAATTCAATTCATTTATCTTAAAAACTAATCAAATTGAAAACTCATAATTATTAAAGTAACGTCTGAATGGCAGTGGATAACATTCTTATTTTTAACTAAAGATTGTGGTGAATAAATAGAATCATTTCACCATTAGCCAGATGTCTAGTTTGAGTCTGAATGATTTTCTTAATTAAAAATCTTATGTGGTATGAATCTGAATTAATTGGAGCCTAAAAGCATATCCGAAAAAATTGAGAGAAATCATTTTTTTTTTTAACTCGTGATGTGAACGTAGTTGGTCAATTTAGCTTTAGCATATGTTAATTATGTTCTCAATTATTTTATTTAATTTATCCACATGTCTTTAACAATGTTGTATCTTTTTTTTTCTTAATTAGTGCGGGTGAAGTTCCTAGGTTGGTGGCAGAGACGGCTTAACAGCCAAGCCACTAAAGCGGTCACTTTAGGCCTCACAAAAATAGAGACCCAAAAGCAACACTTTTTATATGTAACTTAAATATTTATTGTACTTATTATTATGTGAGTAGTTAGTTGAGAAAATTCTAATGAAAGTGAAAGGTTATTAAATGTGCACATAATTTCTAATTCTTCTCATTCCAACTTGAACAAATTCTATTTGCAACTCTAACTTTATAAGATATTTTTTTTCAAGGTCTCTCTAGGTATGCTTCAAGCTAATTAGATCGTAAAAAATCATAATTGATTTGTTTATCATCTTTATAATACAAATTCCCGTATGATTATTACTTTGGCAGGCAATAATACATAGTGAGTTATATTGACGGTCAAGTGAAAAAAATTTAAAATGAAACTTAATAAAGTCTTATCAAAAGTTAGTACTGTTTCAACAAAGATTAAATGGATCGTCAAGATTAAATTGCATTTCAAAAAAATAAAAAATATAATCATTAAACAAAAATATCTAAAATTATTAAACAAGTTAAGGCATCTTATCACGGCTTATTTTTAGGCCTCCAACACCACCACTGAACCGCCTCTGGTTGGTGGCCATCAAAATCACCAGGTGATTTCTCTTAAGTTTCTCGGGCCCCACAATGTGTAATATTTCCCGTACAAAATCCAAATTCATTCTTGTACTATGCTCAAGTACAATTTATGATACAATCTGAATAAAGCAAAGAAAAAAGAAGTACATCCAAAATTGGAAATATTCAGTAGCCCAGATTTGCTAAAACTAAATGGGCATACAATTCTCGCCTCCAATTCTTGAAATTGCAAATCAGAAGCTATGAGCAATATTGCCTCCGGTAGAATCAGAAGATTTGCCATTGAAATCCATTATCCTCAAGCAATCTTGAATCTCATTGTCCGATGCCATTAATTGATCCCAGAACTCTTCTTCGTTTCCTATACCAAAAGCTGTGTTAGTTCCCTGCTGCAACTGTACAGGCTCTTGTTGTTGTTGGGATATAGATAATGTAGTACTAGTAGTTGCATTCTGCTGTTGAATTGATGTGTAATCTGCAAAGGAGAAATTAAGTTTAGCTCTAGGACCTCTAAATTCAATTGCAGCTTTATCATAAGCTCGAGCAGCATCCTCTGCTGTATTAAAAGTTCCAAGCCATACTCTAGCTGCCCTTCTTGGATCTCTAATTTCCGCTGCCCATTTTCCCCACGGTCTCTGTCTCACTCCTCTGTAATTCTTCTTCTGTTTTTTCTTGACAACTACAGTCTTTGTCTTCTTGTTATTATCACCAGCAAATGGAACTCCAAAATAGTTGCAACCTAAACACCCTTTTATTTTACAGAATTGACATGGCTCTGGTTCTGTTGGAACCCGAAACAGAGGAGGCTCTAAACTTGACATGCTCGTAGATGGTGAAGAAGATGAAATTATATATTGAAATTCTTGAGTTGTATCACCTGTTATAACATTTGTTAAAGCAGCAACCATAATAGAAAACTCTTGTTCATCTGTGAACTTTGGCTGTGAAATTAGATGGTTGATTGAAGCAGTTTCCTCTTGTTTAGCTCTTTTGGTTGACCACTGCATTGTTGAAATTTGAAAATGTGTAAACTTTGGTCTTTGGGTTTCAGATAGTTTTCTGGTTTGCTAGTTCTGTGCTTATATATAAGAGGAAAAATGAACAACGTGGATAAGCAAAGTTATAGTAATACACTTTTGGTACACGGGTTTGATTTTTAGCTTAGCTGGCATATTAAATTAGTTTAGTTTTGTGGGCACGTGGGAATTTAGATGATGAAGTTGACATATTGGTTTCTAGTGGGTTTGGAGGTTACGTGGCGGTTATACGGGTCGGATTTCGGGTAATACTTGATGACATGGCAGGGGAGGAAGCGTTGACACGGTGAACTATGACGTAATGTCTTACCGAAGGAGAAGGGTTTGGAATTTTTGGGAGACAAGAATGGGGACAGTTGGCAGTCAAATGTTGCCTTGAAATCAAAAGGACCAAACGACCACATCTACCCAATTTCCGTACTACTCTTTTGTCTAATTTTTATAGTAACAGTATGAATGAATTTAATGTTTAAAATGTTAAATTTCATTATATTTTATATTAGTGATAGTTGAAGAAAATAATACTACCAAGTTTAAGGACCCACATATATATTATTGTTTACCGTTGAAACGGATAACAATTAAATTTATACGCGATTTTAGTAATACATGGATTGATTCAATACAAGTAATCAAGAATGTTAGATAAACGAATTAAAGATAAAATAAATAACCAAACCAGTTGTGATGTATTGATCTAATACATGCAGTCATGTCTTCGCTTCATTGACCCACCGAAAAATCGGGGTATATGTTACTCCCGATTTTACCCGTATATAATTGTATACCTTATTTAATTAATAGAAGAAACATACATCAAAGTTCAAATTTTATTAGTTCTTCTTTTCATTTGTATAAACTGCTAAATATGTTTCTTTCAAGCATTAACTGACCAAGTTAGTTTTGTATCGAAGTATCCTGACTTCATAACAAAATTTAATCGTCTAATTGGATCAAATACAGAAGAAAAGAAAACATTAGTTGTCACAAATAAAAAGCTCTCGAGTATCACATGATCATAACAGGTTAACATCGTGAGCAGTTATTTAGTGTATATTAACAACGCACCCTTTTTGTGTAACCATCTAATATTTGAAGCTTCTTCCCTCGACTAATTCAAATTCATATCGAATAATTTATTAAGGGAGTAAATCAATCCTTATTAAAAAAAAATTTATTTCTAAGATTTAAATTCAAGACTTTTATTTAAAGATGAAAAGATCTCAATCATCCAACCACACTCCTCTCTGATAACGTCTAGGCATGTATTATTATCCGATAACCAAGACTCAAAGTGGACTAGGGTCGACATGCTAGTTTGGTCATATGGGTCGACTTGATAGCTATTGCCTATTGCTTGATCACAGTTGCTGAGCCACATACAACCAAAATGATTCAAATAGAATCCTCTTTGGCAAAATGTTATACTGCATAAATATAAGGTCAAAATAATTTTTTACACATATATAGAATTTAAAATTTCCTTAACATAAGAGAAAATATATTTAAATCACAAATATGATATTTTTGGATATTTTAGAATCTCCTTATTAGAATTCTTGACTCCACCGTTGCTCACCCTATAATAAATTCCAGCCAAAGGAAAAATGTACACTTATTCGAGCTTGGAGGAGTCGATCGGGTTATAAATATAGTATTCTTTTATGGGGTTCGTATGGATAAAAAATTATCTTTGATATGATTAAACCGTATCAGAATTAAGAAGGCCTTCATGGGCCGCTACATGTCACCAGTATTACTTAGATAAAGGCTTGCCCAAGGTCGAAGTGGTCTCTTAAGAGATGAAGATCAAGGTCGAGGCCGAGCATTTGTCTTAGACAATATAATAACGGCTAATTTTAGGATAAGATATTAAAGAGAATATTCTAGTGGATATTCTCTATACCTGTACTATTACGTTTTTTAGGTATATGTTCCCTATAAATAGAAAGAGATATAACTATAGGGGACATAAGATATTCACTTGTAAGATAACACTTGGACATTCTCTGAGGAATCTGATTTTATTGTACACATACAAAATATACCTTTTTCTTGAGATTCTTGTCGAACTACTCCCTACGATCCAAGAACGGTCTGAATATTCAAAAACTCATCAATCAATCATCATTGTCAGAAAGAATATCTTCAAATCTCCCCCTTTTCGGATTACTCACACGCTCCTATTTACTTAAATATTATTTATTACTATTTATTGTTACTAGGAGGAAGACATGTGTCAAGTTAAAAGATACGTGGAGTAAAATTGAAGAGTAAAGAGGATTCTAGAGGAAGATTCAGCGTTCTTCATCCTTTTTCATCACCAGTATATGTACCCGTGCGTTGCGCGATGAATATTAAATATAGTTTTTCATAAAAAACTATTACTTAAAAAATATGGTAGACACAAAGGAGCATGCAAATGCTATTATTTTATGAACCTGTATTTTCAAACATTCAAGTCATAATGAAACATATGTATCCATTGAAAAATAGCTAGTGAGGAAAGCATTCATAAGAAAATACAATCTTGGATGATTTGCCATATTCTAATTCTCAAACAAATGTATTAGTAGCATTTGAAAATGGCCATTTCCACTACACGATATGTTGGCACAAATTAATAAAGTTCCTCTTAAAGGCACAAAACATAATCTTCCTTTGATTCGGTTTCAAACCGTCAAGCATCGATGAAATTGACCTTTGAATGTCAGCCATTGAAAACAGAATAAGCTCTTGGTTAACAAATTTAGTGTACGAAATATACTTTTCTTTCTAGTTTAGATGGGTATCAGGCTGCAAAGCATAAAAAATAAAGAATGATTAGTCAAATTAGGAAATTTTGGATGTATGCTAATCAAACTATAATAAAAGTATTAATGGTCCCAACCTCAAGTTGTCTACGCCAATTCTTCCTTGCTTATATCTTCTTCTGATTGAAATCAAGTTCTATGGATTCCCCATCTTAGTTACCCATCCAGACAATTTTTTCCGTGTTTCTAAAGATCTTGAAAGTACTAGTTTCCTTATTTTGAAGTACTTGTTCCAAACCCCTATCAAAGCAGTAAACAACAACAACAACATTAACAACAACCCAGTAGAATTTCACTAGTGGGGATTCAGGTGGGTAATGTGTACGCAGACCTTACCCCTACCCTGGGTAGAGAGGTTATTTCCGATAGACCATCGGTTTCCTCCCTCCAAGAAATCCCCACCTTGCTCTTGGGGTGACTTGAACTCACAACCTCTTGGTTGTAAGTGGAGGGTGCTCACCACTAGAGCAAATGTCACATCCCAAACTCCCTCTGTATAACGTCGTGACAGCACCTAGTCTTTACGACTAGGTAAGCCTAATAAATTGCGGAAAATAACATAACGAAAGTAAAACTTGGCAACTAACAGCAGTGGATAACAAAATAACTAGTAACAATGCCGCTCGGCATGTACAATAACCAATACTCTATAAATATACAGTCTTCCCAAAACTCGAAACATCATAAGTCACAAGCTACAGAAGGAAACTAGTATCTCTATACACCAGAGTCTAACAAAAGAAGTACGGAAGGTAAATGACATAGGAGAGAATAGAGGGGGACTCCGAGTTTTGCGGACGCGACAAATGTACCTTGAAGTCTCCGTACAATAGCAAGCACTCCCAGGTAGTAGCGGGGCTGATAGAAAGCAGCTGGATCTGCACACAAAAAATGTGCAGAAGAGTAGCATGAGTACACTACAATGGTACCCAGTAAATGCCAAGCCTAAACTCGGTCAAGTAGTGACGAGGTCAGGTCAGGACCACTGGTAAATAATAAATAAGACAAGAGAATATACAGTATTATAAGAGACTATAATTAAACAAAAGGAAACAAAGCAAGGCAACAATACAACACACATGGGTAAACAACAAGGGATCTCCCGAGATACCGTCTTGTAGTCCCAAAATAAATATGCAGGAAAAACTCCCGAGGTACCGCCTCGTAGTCTCAAAATAAATATACAGGGAGAACTCCCGAGGTACCGCCTCGTAGTCTCAAAAGTAAATGTGCATGGAGAACTCCCAAGGAACTTAATGAACTTGAAACTTTAAATTTCTAAAACTGATGTCGAAACCTATCAAACCACATCCGATTGACCCCAAATTTTACACACAAGTTATATTCAACCCTTCGGACCTACTCCAACTTCCGAAATCGGAATCCGACCCCGATATAAAAAAGTCCACTATCGGTCAAAACCTCCAAAAATTCGACTTTCGCAAATTTAAGCCTAAATCAACTACAGACCTCCAATTCACATTCCGGACATGCTCCTAAGTCCAAAATCACCCAACGGAGTTAATAGAACCGACGAAACTCCATTCTAGAGTCGTCTTTACACAGTTCCAACTACGGTCAAAATCCTAAGACTTAAGCTTCCGTTTTAAGGACTAAGTGTCCCAAAACACTCCGAACACACAACCAAAGCCTTCCGGCAAGTCACATAAATAGAAAGAGATTTGGGGAAAGCACTAAATAGGGGATCAGGGCTATAACTCTCAAAACGACCGACCGGGTCGTTACATCCTCCCTCTCTTAAAACAATCATTCGTCCTCGAACGAGTATAGAGACATACGCGAAGTGGTGAACAGATGAGGATAATGGTTGTGCATATCATGCTCGATCTCCCAAGTGGCCACCTTGACCAGCTGACCCCTCCAATGAACCTTCACGGAGGCAATGTTCTTTGACCTCAGCTTTCGAACCTGCCTGTCCAAAATAGCCATTGGCTCCTCAACATAAGATAGATCTGTGTCCAACTGGACTGAGCTGAAATCCTGCACATGAGACGAATCATCGTGATACTTTCGGAGCATAGAAACATAGAATGCCGGATGAACTCTTGCTAGATTGGGAGGTAAGGCAAGCTCATAAGCAACCTCCCCAACACGCCGCAACACCTCAAAGGGACCAATGAACCTTGGGCTCAACTTTCCCTACTTCCCGAACCTTATAACGCCCTTCATAGGCGAAACCCGAAGC